AAACCCTTTGTCCTAGCATCAGCCTGGGCTGTTTGGGGATCTCCACAGAACCCCCTCAGCCAGCAACTCAAATGAATGCAACCCAATCCCACCACTGGGAGCCTTGCTTGGCTACAAGAGATGGTAAGTTCAGAATCTGTACAATCTCCTCAGTAAGAGCACCCTCATAGATACCAGAAAGTTTCCGCTGTGCTAGGTTTTCACACACCCCACCTCGGTGTTCCCCAACTTCAGCTGTGTCTACCTTCTTTTCATCCTATCCCCGACACCTGATCCTTCCTGTTCCCATTCCTGCCTACCCCCAGTCCACTCACAAAATATATCTATTTCCCCTCCAACCCCCAGAGTGCTCCTCTTTTCTGGGTCGCATATTGTAGTTTGGTTATCATTTACGTGTTGGCTAATATCCACTTACAAGTGAATACATACCATACTTGTCTTTCTGTGTCTTGATTACCTTACTACGGATGACATTTCTTAGTTCCATCCATTTGCCTGCAAATTTCAAGAAGTCATTTTGTTTAACGGCTGAGTAATGCTCCCTTGTGTAAATGTGTTGTTTTTTGTTTGTTTGTTTGTTTGTTTGTTTGTTTTGTCCATTCTTCTGTTGAGGGACATTTAGATTGTTTCTAGATTCTGGCTATTGTAAATAAAGCTGAAATAAATATAGTTGAGCAAGTGTCCTTGTGGTAGTAGGGAGTGTCCTTTGTGTATGTGCCCAAGAGTGGTATGGCTGGGTCTTGAGGTACATTGATTCCCAAATTTCTGAGAAACTGTCAGATATTTTACACTGTGGCTGTAAGAGTTTGCATTCCCACCAGCAATAGAGGAGTATTCCCCTCATGTCACATCCTTGCCAGCATGAGCTGTCACTTGTGATTATGCTCTTTAGCCATTCTGACAGGTGTAAGATGGAATCTCAAAAGTCATTCTGATTTGTATTTCCCTGGTGGCTAAGAATGTTGAACACTTCCTTAAGTGCTTCTCAGTCATCTGAGAATCCTCTATTGAATATTCTCTGTTTAGATCCATACCCCAATTTTTAATTGGAGATGCTTCCACTGGAAGCAGGTGGGAGAAGATGCAGAGACACACATCCAAATATTATGTGAAGAGTCTCCTTTGGCTCCCTCCCCTCGGAGCTCGGAGAATTCCACAGAAGTGGGGAGGAAGGATTATGGAAGTCAGAAGGATGAAGCACCCCAGGAGAACACTGGCCACTGAATCAAGCAAGGCCCAAACGGGCTCTCAGATACTGAAGTAGGAAGAATGGCAGCCACGGGGGTTTGTATAGAGGAGTTTTAATCCAGCAACATGGCTGCTCTGACACGGGATCACATCCAAAGACCTAGGTCTTTGTGATCTTCCTGGAGTGCAGAAACACCCTTAGTACGCACCTTTAACCCCTCTGGCTGGAATTCAGTACAGACTTTTAATCCCAAACAATGCTGTCTAATTGAGGAACAGAAAAAGGGACAAATCGGAGAAAGATTTGACAAAATGAGTCAGAGATAGAATATGCCTAACTCTTAGGAGAACAGACAGGAAAGACACGATATTTAAGGTCAGTAAAGAGTGAGAAGAATTTGTGGAGACAGTACAGTGGAGTGGAGTTCAGGCATACAACTGAATTCAGTGAAGTTGAGTTGAGTTTGTGAAGGTACGTGGAGTTCAGAGGCAGCTTTTCTAAGCAGAGAATTTCAGTCAGAGGCCAAAAGAAGCCAGTTTGAATCAGTCAGCTTGGAGAGGAGTTTAAGCCAGAACAGCTGAGATGAATCAGCCAGCCAGAGAGACCTAGAAAGGGTGAGCCTATTCAGCAGTAAGTTTCAGAGGCTGAAAACATTATCAGCCTAGGTTACTAGGTGGAAGCTGGAAACTGAAGCTTTCAAGGTCCAGGTTTACAGAAGATTAGATTGTATGGAGGCTATAAGCTTCCAGGCCTAGGCCTAGGCATGGATGGGTAGATAGATAGATAGATAGATAGATAGATAGATAGATAGATAGATAGATAGATAGATAGATAGATAGATAGATGATGGAGGGATGAATAGAACAGAGATAGAAATGCTCTGGGCTCAGCCCAAACCGTGTTGTAAAGCTTGGGTACGGCTCCCATCTCATCCCCTCATCTGAGGAAATAAAAGCATTTACAGGTCTGCACCAGTTCCTCTGCATGTATTTTGGCTGCTAGCTTAGTGTCTTTGTGGGACTACTAACTGGGAGCTGGTGTGTCTTTGACTCCTATGCCTGCTCTTGGAGCTCTCTTCTTCCTGTTAGGTCGCCTTGCCCAGCCTCGGTGTGACAGCCTTTGCCTTGTCTTGTACTGTGTTGTGTCATGTTTGGCTGTTGTCTTTTGAAGGCCTGACCTTTTCTGAAGGGAGACAGAGGGGGAGTAGATCTGGGGAATAGGATAAGGAAAGGAAAGCTGTGGAGAGTGGAAGGAGGGGAAACTGTGGTCAGGATATATTGTATGAAAAAAGAATCTATTTTCAAGTAAAAGAAGAGGAAAAGGAGAAAGAAAGCAACATATGTATCTTCTGTATACAAATCTCAGCCAGGATGAAATAGATAGAACAGAAGCCATGAGGCAGAGACTGACTAAAACTCAAAACTTTTAAAGTATGCCCTCTGTCAAAACCTAAACATAAAACAGACATGCTCAAAAGCAATGCAATGACACTTTTATTTCCACAATTTCATAAAGCAGAAAAAAGGAATTTTTTTACTATGTTATTTCAACACCACATAATAAATTAAATTTTCATGATTCTGATGGTTACTTCAGATAATACAAAAACACAAAGGGGAAAAAAACACGTGCTCTTCTATTCTACAGTCCTTTCACTAGAAATTATTGTCAGGGACCCAGAGCTGCCATTATAAAGGACTTTCTTGCCCTCTACATACTGTCATCAAAGCCTAGCTCTTACTTCTGACTCCTGACTATTATGATATATTATATTCAGTAAAATCATGTGTTCCCAGGAGACTTGAAAACAGTATTGGTTTATTTAAAAAAAAAAAAGCCATGTGCTTCACAAAAGAAAATTCTCTCTCAAAAATGATTCTACAGAGGGAGAGAGGGTGGGGTTGGGAGGGAATAAGGGAGCGGGATACAGCTGGGATACAGAGTTAATAAAATGTAACTAATAATAAACAATAGTAAAAAATGATTCTACAGTACAACACAGTTTAGGAAAAAGGGTAACTAACAGGAATGTATGTAGCAATGCAAGTGAGCTTTTCACAGCTGTGCACCTGTTGACTCTCAGAATTTCTCAATTCTGCTCTTCTGCTAGTGCATACATACTAGGTGCATCGTTTCTTTTTGTTTTGTTTTTGTTTTCTTTTTTAATTTTTATTTTATTTTTATTAATTACAGTTTATTCACTTTGTATCCCCGCTGTAACCCCCTCCCTCATCTCCTCTCAATCCTACCCTCCCCCTTCTTCTTCTCCTATGTCCCTCCCCCAGTCCAATGATAGGGAAGGTCCTCCCCCTCTGACCATCCTCTATCAGGTCTCATCAGGACTGGCTTCTTTGTCTCCCTCTGTGGACTGGTAAGGCTGCTCCCCCCTCAAGGGGAGGTGATCAAAGAGCCAGCCCATGAGTTCATGTCAGAGACAGTCCCTGTTCCTATTATTGAGGAACCCTCTTGGACACTGAGCTGCCATGGGCTACTTCTGTGCAGGAGTTCTAAGTTATTTCCATGCATGGTCCTTGATTGGAGTCTCAGTCTCAGAAAAGACCCCTGGACTCAGATTTTTTTTGTTCTGTTGCTCTCTTTGTGGAGCTCCTGTTCCCTCCAGGTCTTTCATCTCCCCCTTCTTTCATAAGATTCCCTGCACTCTGTCCAAAGTTTGGCTATGAATCTCAGCATATGTTTTGATACCCTGCTGGGTAGAGTCTTTCAGAGGCCCTCTATGGTAGGCTTCTGTCCTGTTCCCTGTTTTCTCCCTCTTCTGATGTCCATTCCATTTGCCTTTCTGAATGAAGATTGTTCATCTTACCCAGGGTCCTCCTTTTTTTTTTTGGGGGGGGGGGGGGGGTTGAATCTGTAATTTTATTTTATTTTATTTTTTGAATTTTTATTTATTTTTATTATTAGTTACATTTTATTAACTCTGTATCCCAGTTGTATCCCTCTCCCTCATTCCCTTCCAATCCTACCCTCCCTCCCTCATCTCCTTCCTGCCCCTTTCCAAGTCCACTGATTGGGGAGGAGGGTCCTCCTTCTTGATTAGCTTCCTTAGGTGTACAGATTTCAGTATAATTAGCAGCTCCATTCTACAGATGAATTCTTAGCCATCTTTCTCCAAAAACTTCACAGGTTTGGGGGCTTCATGTCCCAAAGGTTCACAGATTTGGGGGCTACATGCTACAGAGAATATATTTTAGCATGTAAAATTATTTCAAAGCCAGGAAAACAAGGCTTTCCTTTCGGTCAATAAGACCAATTAGGTTGTAAGCACTGTCTGGAATCTCTGCAAGCAAGAAAAATGTTTTGTTATTTCTCTGTGAAAGCGTTCCAAACTCGGTTGCGGTGGTTCAGTATCTATTACATATTTCCACGAGTTAAGAAAAATAGAGGCTCTGTGAGCACTAATGAGACCTCAGGAGAATGTTCTAAAATGCCTCTAATCCTTCCTCCTGTTTTATCATTGCTCATATGCACTTCTTTCGCCATCATTAAGCCTCAAAGCTTTTTATAATAATTATTTCCATTGTCGGTGGATTCTGAGTGCATTATGGTAAAAGATTAATTTGTTTTGTTTGCTTGCTTGCTTGCCTGCCTTGTGAATTTATCTTAAACTTTTCAGATATTTTTGAGGGGGGAGGGGTTATACTGAATTGTTGACCTATCCCTTTCAAGCCTACTTTTTGATTGACTTACTATAATAAATCAATGAAAAGAACTTAGTATGTGTTCAATGCTATTTTGTTTAATGATTGGTTTAGTTCTGAAACTGGAACTGAAAATTAAAACTTCATGATTTTTTTTTCAATGCTGGGAATTGAACCCAGACCTCCTGCATTCTAGGCAAGTGCTTTACCACTAAGCCACATCATCTTATCATGACATATTTGAACAAACTCATTAATAAATACCTCTGGGCTCTATAAAGCACCAAGATTCAGGGTCCTGGACTACACTTCTAAACTCATTCCTAATCCACCATTTCCCAAGTACCCTATGTTCTTAAAGCCAGGCAAAACTATAGGTTAACCAAGACCAGAGAGTGGGACACAAGGTACCTGGAAGAGAAGCCAGCCTCATACCACTCTCGGAAAGATGACCTCACGCTCAGCATTGCCTTGCTGCAGCTTCAGCCTTCCTCCCTATTTCTTTTCTTCTCTCAGAAACTCACAGGTCATCTTCCTTGCCCTGAATCTCAAATTTAGTGAGCCTAAACCATTTTCTCGTAAGACTATCCTATTCCCAAACCTGAAAGGTAATGTACTTCCTATGCTCAACATATGAGGTCAGAGGTTAGGTGAGGTTCTTCTCAGCAGATGCTGCTGTTTGCACCCAGGATGCTATCATTTCCCGTTACTGCAGCTACTAAATTAAGAACATGCTCAAAACAAGTTCATCTCACTGTTACCAAAACTGAGGCTGGAAAGCAATTGCCACTTCCTGTAATGATCGCATTGTCGGCAGCACACGTTTTATTTTGTGGCCTTGTGTGGGTTTACTCTCTTTTTCATTTAAACACAAATCACTGTGTCTCCATGGCAGACACATTTCCTCCACTTCAGGCGGTAACAGAGAAAGCCCCGTTTGGAAGGCAGTTTTGGAAGATGTCCTTCCTTAATAAAATGTCTTCTTCATTTGTATAGGATTAATAGAGCCACCCTTGGAAGTACACTCAACTGTCTCCCTCACCTTGAGGTGCTGGAGTTTTACAGTAGTGGAAGTGCAGACAGGTGTTTTGAGAGCATAACTGATTATTCTTCTGTAAGCTGTATCAAAGTTCAATGATTTTTAGCTAAAATCATTCTATAAAAAGTTACATACTGTGATTTCACCCTTATCTCCTCCCAGATGAGCTGACTGGTTCATAAACAGCAAGGTTTCTATTTTAATCCCCCAACTCTATTCTGAGATAGGAGCTCTATCAAAGTGGAAAGGCTTTCCTGTCAATAAGTCCATCCAAAAGGATTCATTTATTTATTTCTGTTTTCGTGCTTTCCTGTTAAGAAGAGATCATTGCACTTAATCCTACCACAACCTCGTGAGAGTTCTCTTATTTTTATACTAAAAGATCTTACAACTAATGCTTCATCAAATCAGAATACCAAACATTTGTAATAAGATCCCCATCTCCAGAGAAAAGCTCCTAAGATGTTAAGAACCAGACCCTGAAGCAAAGCAGTCTGGCAAAGGGTATGTAAAGCCCAGGAAGGGCCTATATTTCAGCTACACTCAGCTTTTAGTTCTAGTTCATTTTAAATGGAATGGTTTCAATTCATTGTTTTGGATGGAGCAACATAAAATTATGAAAAGACTTCAGACCATGTTTTTTTTTCCTTAACACTTTAATATTTTATAATTAAAAAAAATACTACTGAGTAACATTTCTTTGAGCAATACTGTATGAAGCAAAACATTTATCTTAACATAACTTCAGTGGGGACCAATAACTACCCAAGTCACAGTTGCATTGTAGCAGGGGTTCCTTAAAGTCAAGGATCTGACTGCAGGACCAACCACTAACTTAACTGGGCTCTATTCCTCAGACCTGCTCTTCCTTTCAGTCCTTTGTCCTTCCTGGATTAGTTCAAGTTCAAGAAGGGTCAGATCCAGGTGATAATTATCTCAAGCCAGAACCACAGCTGTTTCCCCAGGCCCAGCAGGACCCTCAAAAAACACATCTGAGAGACTGACCAATCAAACTCCACCTTGGCTAGCACTGTATGCTATGTGTCACTCTTCCCCATCCTACTTCTTCACCTGTGTACTTCTACAGTTATTGTTGGGACCCAAAACGGGTTTAGAATGCTTGTTCCTCTCTTATCCCTGCGATGACCATACTAAAATCAACTTCTTTCCTACTGTGTTAGTAGAAGACTCTGGGATTCCCTCTTTGTACTATTAGTCTTTCTTTGAAGATCTTAGAAATGGACTGGGCAGGAAGCTCAAAGACATTTTTACCAGAGTGGGAGAAAAAGAACAAGACGGGTAAGCCATAAATCTGCAAATCTCAACAGCTGCTGCAAGTAGAAGGATAAAATAGAGTTAGAATAGAAGGTAGAATAGAGTAGAAAGGTAGAATAGAAAGAGTTAGGGTGAAGAAAACCAACATGTTAGTCAGAAAGATGAGCAAGCAGCTACATGCTGGCAGATGTGAGTACTTCAAAGAGGCATGAGAAAGCCCAGAGCATCTGGGAAAACACATTTCCTCCCCTGTGTACTTATCCTAAACATATCTTCCAGTGGACCAGCATCCCTGGGGAGCACTCCCAGCCAAGTGACAAGTAAATCCACCTGGATTCATTCTTTTTAAAGAAGGTTTATTTTTATTCTTATGTGTATAACTGCTTGTTCTACATATATGCGAGTGCATACCACTCATGTAATGCCTGTACAGGTCAGAAGAGCGTGTCAGATGCACTGGAACTGGAGTTAGAGACAGTTGCTTGTCACCATGTGGGTGACAGGAATCAAACCCGGGCCCTCTGCAGGAGCAGCAAGTGCTCTTACCTGCTGGGCCCTGGCTTCAGCCCCGGATTGACTTGTGGGCAGGGAGACGGTAGTGTGCAACCTTCTAGTCTTTGGATCAGACCAGAATGCCATGTCTCTACCAGGACCAGAGCTAGGAGGAGGTAGCTCTCTCTTAATGGGCCTCAACAAAGCCCTCAAATCCCCCACCTCCCAATATGGAACTTCTTAATTGTAAGGAAGGGCAAAATTGATGTATCCCTTCCTTGTGTTACCAGGGAAACAGGGTCCCCAGCCAGCCTTGAGGAAAGGGGTCCATACTCAATAGCATCTCTCCTGCTATAAACAAGGGCACCCCACATTTGAAGAATTTATCCTCACTTTTACATCACTAACTCTTGGCCTAACCATCACTGACTCTTTCAGTAGACCTTGTTCAGTCGTCATCATTATGACGTTTTGTCTCCTTACTATAGAGATGAAACAAGGCCATAGGAGCATTGTCCTGCGTGTACAGTGCACTCTCCATAACCTTAAAACATTGCAAAATGAGCCCTAAAGCACAGCCTTGAAAGTACAGACAGGCCCGCGCGGGGGCGGGGCCATGGCGCCACAGAGGTTCGCAGGGTCCTCTGCTTCCATGTCCTAGGCTTGCATAGTGCGGCCCACGAGCATGTCCCAGGCTTCATCGCAGAGGAGCCTCGCGATGCGCGCTGGTCTGGGGTCGCTAACCCCAGCTGCGACCTTGTCGTGTTAGTCCAAGTGAAAATTCTGATTATGTCTGCAATCCTTCAAGATGTGAAAGGATTATTTTGGAAGAACTTGCCCAACTTAGCCGCCTGGGACATTTCAATTACCCACCTTATAAGAAAGTTTGCAAGACGTCGGGTAGTGCTGATTTTCAAAAGAAACCAAGAGATACGGTGTCTTTTTCATCTGCTCTGTGGATGAAGAGATTAAAAACCTTCGAGAGAAGCTTAATCAACTTAGGCAACAGAATGTTTATTTGGTCACGCAGAACCATTCTTTAATGACTAAGATAGAGTCTATCCACTTTGAGTTGACACAATATAAAGCAAAAGTATGTCTCTTGATTTGCTAAGAGAGTATTTGTAATATGTATATTTGTGTGTGTGTGTGTGTGTGTGTGTGTGTGTGTGTGTGTGTGTGTGTGTGTGTATGGATGTATATTTGATTTTTTTTTTTTTTTTGGACAGGGTTTCTCTGTGTTCCTTGGCTGTCCTGGACTTGCTTTGTAGACCAGGCTGGCCTCAAATTCACAGAGATCCACAGAGATTTGCCTCCCTGAGTGCTGGGATTATAGGCATGTGCCACCGCGCTGTCTTCAATTATTTGTACTATTTGATGATTAATAACCAGAACATATGTATGTTGCCTATCTAATAGGTAAAAATTTCTGTATGCTACTTGAATATTGACAGGGACTAAAATCACTATCATTTCTGAAGATAATTTAAGAGAACTTTTAATAATTGTTGCATTAAGATAAATCAGCTTCTTAAAATCTTATTGTTGGAAACTTAAAAAACAGAAAAAGGATGAGATTGGAGAGATGATCTACTGATTAAAGAGCACTTACTTATTCATTTTCCCTTTCCACCCACATGGCGGTTCACAACTATCTGTATCTATAGTTCTGAGGATCTGGTGCTTACCAGGCATGCACGTGGTGGACAGATGTACAAACAGGCAAAACACCCACACGTAAAATAAAAATATATCTTCAAAAAAGAAAAACCATCCTGAATTTTCTATTACTTAGAAACCCCCTTATTGTCTGTCTTAAATAGTATCCATACTATTTTGAATAGTTTGTTATTCTTTTTAATAAAAAATTGTTATTTTGTGTGTTTGTAAAAAAGAAAGAAAGTATAGACAGTTCTGGGAAGCTTGCATCTCCATTTTTTTTTTTTTTTTTGTTTTTTCCTAAAAAAAAAAAAAAAAAACTTAAGTAACAACTTCATTTTTTTTATTTGTAGACTTTTTGCCACACTCAAAACAGAATTTGAGCAGAAACCAGCTCAAAGATATTTTGTGGATCTGTGCTTTTCCTCCAAGAAAGCAAGTATTTATTATAGAAATGATTTTGTGCTCACTCTTAAGTTAACAGACAAAGAAACTGTACAGGTTTTCTGCTATTGCTGGTGGGAAATGGCTTCTACACAGACACTTCTTGTTAGGCAACGACTTTTCTGACAACATAGCTACAGAAATTCCCCCAAGAAGTGCATCCTGTGGGTATTGCTTCCCTTTCTAAGTTTCCCTTTCATTCATAAGCTCAGAACTTGACATCAGTCTCTGTTTTTACTAGTTTTATGACTTCCCAGAATCTTAATTTCTTTTTAATTATTTATTTTATCTTTGAGATTATAATACAATGACACT